ATTCTGCCTGCTATACCACACTGCCTATTGATATTGAAAGAGCTTGTACTAACTGGGCTCTCCTTCCTATGAATCATGTGCTCATGATACAGACTGCCTCTCACAGGACACCTTGAAAATGCTCTGGAAAAAAAAAAGTAAAAAGAAAAAAAAGAAAATGCTCTGAAAAAAAAAGAAAAAAGAAAAAAAGAAAATGCTCTGAAAACAGGCAATTTCTGGCCCATCTCAGCATCTGCTATAGGAAAATGACTGTAGGGATTATTTTGATATGAGTTTTCATAAGAGTTGGCCTGGGAGCCGGGAAGCCCAGTGTTCCAGTCCATTCTCTGACTCTAGAAGTTACGGATGAGTAGCTAACCTACATGCAGGGAGTTTCCAGAAGAAATTCTCCGACCCCTTGGGCAGCTCCAATATAGCCTGCCTGTAGCTTGTTTGTGGGTGTTTAGACCGCTAGGTGGCGCCATAGTGCACAGAGCACTGGGCCTGGAGTCAGAAAAACTCATCTTCCCAAGTTCAAATCTGCCCTCAGACACTTACTTGCCGTGGGACCTTGACCAAGTCACTTCACCCTGTTTGCCTCAGTTTCCTCATCTGTAAAATGAGCTGGAGAAGGAAATGGCAAACCAGTCCAGTATCTTTGCCAAGAAAACCCCAAATGGAGTCGTGAAGAGTCAGACATGGCTGAAAAATCACTTGACATTACTACTACCACATTATACACCTATCTACCTGGAGTATGGCAAACTGCTCAAAGTGTCTCCTGCTAATAACTCATTAGAAAAATAGATACAGCAACATGGCCTGTAGGTACAATATTAAATGTTCCCAGAGCAGCATTTCCTTGGAGGTGTCAACAAATAGATACCCAGCAATATTAATATAAAACATATAAGAATATTTTGAAATGCTCCACCCCCCAAAAAAGACAAGCATCTTATTTAGCCCCATTTTCCACTCTCCCCTTTGTGTCTCATGCCCACCTCCTTCTCCCAATTTTGAGGAGTCCCTCCCCCTTCTGTACAAATCTCCTCTGGGTACATCCAGTTAGGAGCAGCTCTAGCCAGCCCCAAGCTTCTGAAGATTTGCTAAGAGCAGGTGAAGATCTGTGAAAAAGTAACAAATGAAAATAGAGCTGTTGAAGATCAAGTGAAAAGGGCTTAGGCACACTCTTCACGCCTCCTCAGCCGCTCCTGTTAAACTGCTCCTTTGAGGGAAAACCTTGCTGGTCACAGTCCTAGCAACTTGATTAGGAAGGAACTTCCAATGGAGTAGCCTAGTAAATAGTGAATGGAGGCTAGGGAGAGCTGAGTTCAAATCCTGCCTCTCATACTTGCTACATGGCCAAGCACAAGAGACTTGCTTTCAGGCAATCCATCTGTAAATCCTTCCCACGAATGGGGATAATCATGAGACAAGCATAAAAGAGAGTGCAATACTGATAACACTTATGTCACAGGGTTACTCTGAGGCTCGAGGGAGACAAGGTATGTAAATGCAGCTGCTGTGATCACTCCCCAGCATCCGAGGCTAGTGTTAACAGCATTTCCTGGGAACAGTGGGGTGGCTCAATAGATAGAGCTCCAGCCTTGGAGCTGAGTTCAAATCTGGGCTTAGACACTTGACACTTACTAGCTGTGTGACCCTGGGCAAGTCACTTAACCCCAATTGCCTCACCAAAAAGAAAAAGAAAAAACAAAAAACCAGTATCTCCTACACTCTTGTTTTAGGCATAAGTAATGAAAAATTTGAATGTAAATTTATGTAAATAAATATCTGTACTTTAAATTCCAGAGGATAGCATACTGGACAGAGAACGGTGACAGTGCCAGGAAGCCTTGGGTTCAAGTCACTCCCCTGGAACATATTGGCAGTGTGACCCTAGCCACCTACTTAGCCTCTCTCCACTAGCCCTCCAATTGGCAGAGAAGATGCCTACCTGTATTGGCGGAGGGAGTTTCTTCACCTGAGAGCTCCCTAGGCCGATTACATTGCAGTTCCAGTCCCTTCCTATTTTATTTTATTTTATTATTTTATTTTTTTTTATAACTTAACCCTTCTCATTTTATTTTATTTTTATAATTTAACCTCTCCTATTTTAAAGTCAGCTCTCTGAGCATTACCATGGTACCTAATCCATGGTCATTGTGGGCAGCTGCTCTGGTGAAACCTCTGGAGCCTTCCTCAGAAGAATGTTCTTGAATGAATAAAATAAAGCACATGGGATGGCCAAGGAAACCAATCCTATTGAAACACAGTTATCAAAATGTTACCAAAACCGCTCCCCAAACCAAGCTCACAGACCCCAGGTCAAAAATCCCTGCTCAGTATTATTCCATAATGATAATACGATAGTATTATCCTATGGAGAGGTAGCAAGGAATATCTTCCCCCCCCATCATTCATTTCTTGGATAACATGCTCTTCTTGCATACATCAAGTCAACAAGCATTTATAAAGCACCTACTATGTGCCAGGCACTGGGCTAAAAAGCATTCCTTATTGTAATCTATGGCAGTCTGTTCACACACATGATGTCCTCCTTTACAGGAATCTGATTGTCTTGGACTAAATAGTCACTGAGATACCTTCAACTCTCATAATTCTGTGATTTATTCATCTATTGTCTTGTAAATAAAAAGTAATAATGACAATAAAGTGACTTTGGAAGCTGCTAAGTGGCCTGGTAGATACATAATGGCAGGAGCTAGAGTGATAAGGACCTGAGTTCAAACTCTGCCTCAGACTCTAGCTGTGTGACCCCGAGCAAGTTACTCACCCACTGTCTACAGATTAGGCCCAAGTCTGGCATTCGAGACCCCCCTGGATCAAGCTCCAGGCTACCTCACCAGGCTTGCCCTCCTTGGCTACCTCTCTTTCAGCTCAGTTGAAGACTGTGGGGTAAAGAGCATGATTTGGGGTTAATGGACCTGGGTTCCAATCCCATCTCTGTCACTTACTAGCTGTGTGACCTTGGCAAGTCAATTTTCCCTCCCTGGGTCTGTTTCCTCATATGCAAAATGAGGAAGCTGGGTTAAATGACCTTCCAGCCCTAGATCTGTGAGTCTATCCCAAACCTGTTTCTGGTCCTCACTTTCTGCCCAAGCAAATCCTACCAAATTTGGAGAATCTGAGCCCCACAGGGTCAGAAAGGCACTCAGAGGCTAGCTAGGCCAACCCATTTCAGAATAGGAATCCCCAGGCAATATCACCACCAAGTGGCCACCCAGCTTTTGCTGGAGCCAAGTGACAGGGAGCTCTCTCCCTTCCTTGACAATCTACCTTTGCAGACACCTAATGATTAGGAAGAGAGGGATCCTGGGAGCACAGACTCAGAGCTGGAAGGGACCTTTGAGATCACTTAGTCTACGCCAATCCCTCTTCCTTATTTTAAAGATAAAGAAACTCTGGAGAGATTAAGTGACCTGTCCCAGGTCATCCAGCTAGGAAATGTCAGAGGTAGAATTTGAACCTAGATCTTCCTACATTCTATCTACAACAACTGACTGCCTCTACGGTCCTCTCTGACTTCAGTGTCAGTCCATAGAGAACTCTCCTTCCTCTAAATCTGGGTGGAGTAGAAAGATGGATAGGTAGATAGGTAGATAGGTAGGTAGGTAGGTAGGTAGGTAGGTAGGTAGGTAGATGGGTGGGTGGATGCATGGATGCATGGATGGATGGATGGATGGACAGATAGATAAGCAAATGGCAGATAGGCAGGTAGATAGAATAAAGATAGATTAAAGGAAGATGAAAAATAGACATGTATATTTCAATATAATTGGTTCCCTTTGTAATCCTAAGTATTTTAAGTATTTACAAAGATTATTCTGAGAAGAGGTCCATATGTTTCACTAGACTACTCAAGGGAACCATGACACCAACAGGATTAAGAACTCTTATAGTATTTATGTTGTCTATCTGCTGAGTTCACTTTGCATGTATTGCATATTATCTGGAAGTCTCAGGTAGGTTTTCCTATGAATATGATGTCTTTGTAGCTAGACTATTAGCTCCTTAAGAGAAGCTACTTCTTAGCATTTCCCATAGCACATGATGCATTACTAGGTATACAGTAAGTGCTTAAACACATACCCTAGTGACTGATTACATATATATGGTGTGACAGACAATTAGCTGTGTCTAACTCTTCGTGACCCCATTTGAGGTTTTCTTGACGCTGACACTGGCTCATTTTGCAGATGAAGAAACTGAGGCAAACAGGGTGAAGTGATTTGCCCAGGATCGCATAGCTAATATGCGTCCAAGGCCAGATTTGAACTTAGGTCTCCCTAACCACAGGCTAGGCACTTTATCCACTGCACCCCCTTAGCTGCTCCACTGATCCTATTAAGAAGTCTGAAGGACATAGTGTGTGATGATAGTGTTATAAATAAAAGGAGTCAGCTTTGACACCCACCGCAGACGTTTACTAGATATGTAACCCTGGTCAATTCACTTACGTGCTTTTAGCCTCACTTTTCCCATCTGTAAAATGGGAGTAATCACTTTCTTTACAGGGTTGTTAAGAAGATGCAATGAAATCGTGGGTGTAAAGCATTGTACATGGACAGATAAAGGGAAAGCACTTTAACATAGGACCTAACCTGTGACTTCTCAGTGAGGTAACTCCCTCTACCAGTACAGATCTACACCTTCTAGTCTTAGCGGGCTGCCTCCCAAAGGCTGGGGTGGGGGTGGGGGGGCAGTGAGCAGGCCTCTAAGTCAGAAAGAAGTGGGACAGGTCCCATCTTGGACCCACACTGGCTGTGTGACCTAGGGCAAGTTCCTTAACCTCTCAGTGTCGGAGGCAAACTGTTATATAAACCAAGCTCTCCTTATCAATGTTCTACATTCCCAGAAAGGTGGGAATCCAAAGTCAGCTGCTGGCCTTTGTACTGCTGCATGATGGCAGCGATCTCAATTCTTGGGGCACAGGATTTGCTTGGCAGGGTTTGTACTGCTCAGGGCAGAAAAGTCCTCCCCCGCTGGAGGCATCTTACCTGATAACAAACTGTCTGTTTTTATTGAGGGAAACTTCAAAGTCATTTCATGCTTGTGTCTATGAATCATCAGATGATCCTCGGTCGGGAAGCGCTGTCAGACAAATACAAAGAAAAAAGAAAGAAAGAAAAGGAGATCTGTTCAGTGTGTTTCCCAATGCTCATTTGGCACCAGCTGGAGGGGGGAGAGTGGGGAAATGATCATCTAGCAATTGAGACATGCCAGGGGACCCAAAAACCGCTTTGGAGAAGTGAGAAAGTGTGAGCTTTGTGTATGGGATGGAGGACGCTGCCAGGCTCTTCTGTCTGCCACCCGAGTGGAGGAGTCAAAAATGCAGGCCCTCCACTGGCTGAGGAGACAGCCTGGTGGCAAGGCAGCATCACCTGGAGGGTATGTGTTCTCCTACTCCCAGGGCGCTCCAACCTGGGGCTCTGGGCTTTTTCAAATAAGCTTTGTCCCTCTCTGGGAAGAATGAGGGAAGGATGTGTTGGGAAATGTCGGTGATACAAAAGCAAACTACATCAATAACATTTTTTTCAAAAACACCAAAATGAAAAAAGCATTATCTAAATCAGCTGAGATGGCCAGGAGAATCTAATTCTACTCAATTGAACAGGCATTTTTAAAAGCACCTACTATGTGCCCTGTACGTTGGACTCACAATGGGGTACAAAAAAAAATAATACAGCAATCTTTGCCTTCAAGGAATTGAGATTCTGCTGGGGGGGAGGGGCGGGGAAGATGTGAACACTGGTATTGAAAAAGCATTCTAAGGTTTACTGTATGCCAAGGTGCCATGTTGGATGTTGGGGATAAAATGACAAAAATGAAACAGTCCCTGTCTTCAAGGAGTGTACATTCTCGTAGGGATTTAGGGGAAGATCTCCCTGTGGAAGGTGGCCCATGAGCTGCCCTTTGAGGTCAGGAAGGGGTTCCATGAGGCAAAGATGAAGGAGAGCCTTCTAGGCATGAAGGGGCTCGGCCTTCCCAAAAGGGGAAGATGGTCATTCACATACTCCTAGAACAGCCACCTGACCAGTGTGACTGGGGTGGAGCCTACAGAAAGGGGAATAATATGAAATCAAGCTGGAAAGGTAGGAGGGGAACCAGACTGTGGGAGACAAGCAGTGGATTTGAATACACTGGAGATGGCTTCAAACTCCAGCCCTACCGCTCCCTAGGTGAAACTGATTAAGTCACTCCCCTCTCTGGGCTTCAGATTCCTCAGCTGTAAATAAGGGGATCGCACAAGATGGCCTCTGAGGTCCCCCAGTTCTATATCGAGGACCTTCTGTTCTAATAGATGAGTCCTTCCCAGGGCCAGCCCTGTGGCCATCAGCAAACAACACATCTTCATAGGGATTCAAGATCCGAGAGACCAAAGGTGGACCCTGCCCTGCCCCGGGCTTAGAGAATACAACATGAAGAGATCAAGTTGGAAACATTTGAACAAGCGCCAATCCAGCCCAGAATGCACGATCCCAATCTGCTGGGTCCACTTTGGGGAACTGAAATCATTGTCTTGAAAGACGTGAACTCTCCAGAGATGCTAAAAGCTTCTCTTTATCACAGGAACACCAGGCCACAGGCAAAGGAAGGTGCTTCATTGAACATGGGTATGGGTGATAAGAGAGAAAGTCCCAAGAAGAAGGGGCAAGCATACAGGTCCGGATACCAATCAAACACAGAGAACAGGGTGCAGCCAGGCTCTGTGGAGGGCTCAGGACACATGTGTGAGGGCTCCAACTGTCATTTGGAACGTGCCTCAGCTTTCCTAGAGATTGGGACCAGGACAAATGCAAATTGCCCAAAGCGATCCCATGAGTCTCTTTACATGTTTTTTTGTTTCGTTCTGTCTTTTTGTGCTGTGTTACTCAAACTCAGTGAGACTTTTTTACATTTGTCTCTGCATCCCCAGTGCCTAGTGCCTGGCACACTGTGAGCAGTTAATTAGAGGTTTGTTGGACTGTTAAACTGAATTATCTGCAATCCCAGCAGAAGAAGGGGCTGCACAATTCAGAAGGGGCACCCACCTTAGGCTGGCTCACCCCCTCTCTTCCAATGGGCTATCCTACGCAGCAGGACCAAGTTATAATGATGTGAGAGAGGCGTCCGGCATTTGACAGAGAGGGGAGGGGCCTCCCTTGGGGACCTCTGATTGGTTTACACCTCTGATGTCACAAGTAGGTAAGTGCCAATTATAAAGGAAGCTGGAAGTTTCTGGCAAGGAATATTCTAGATATGAGGGCTTCTAGAGAAGGGAAAGGGTACCAGGCAGGAGATGAGGATGTCTCTAAAATGAAGACCACCCGTCAAGAAAAAGGCTAGGCCCAGGAAACCAGAGGGAGGGAGGGATGGATGAGTGAGTGAAAGAAAAAAGTGTTTATTAAGTGCTTATTGTATGTAAAACACATATATGTGATGGGGATTCAAAGAGAAAAGTAAGAGACAGGCCCTGCATTCAAGGAGCACACATTGTAAGGGGGAGGCCACACATAGGGAAAGTTTCTATACCAAGTTTGACAAAAAGGGGGAATAAAGAGCCCTCAGAAAACACATTTATTTAGGGCAGGAAAGGAAAAGTCATCATAACAAAGTAAATACAACAAACCTCCCTGTTCAGTTTTAAACTGATAGGGAAATTCTTGCATCCAGAATCCAGCAGGACCCCTCCCGGGCCAGTACGAGAGCCCAGGCCTGCCCACATCACTGTCCTCCTCCAAAAGCTTCAGGTGGACAATGAAGTGTCCTCATCAACTTTGTAACGTAAAGTCTAGAATCATGGGATTCAGGACTGGAAGGGAATTAGATTATCTCATTTTTACAAGTAAGAAAACATAGCCCTAGAAAGAGATACTCCTCACCAAGGTGAGTCATGCAGCTAGTCAATGGTTAGGACTTGAATTAGAGTCTGTATTCTGAGGCATCATGACATGGCAGAATGGGTGAGACACCTGGAATCGCCTGTGTATCAGTTATGCCTCCCTTACACCTCCCTTACCCTCTCTAGACCTCCGTTTCCTCATCTGTAAAATGGGCATGCCACTGGTCACAATATCTCCTTCACAAGCCTCGTGTGAGGAAAGGGAATGAATTGTAAAGCACACAATACTCTGTCTATGGGACCTAGAGTCCTGATGTGGCCACTTTCAGAAGATATGACAACTTTAAAAAGCCTGTTGGGTACATAGGATCATAGGATCTTAGACTTAGCCCTGGAGAGGATCTTAGAAGTCTCCTAATCCAAAGCACCCATTATACAGATAAGATCCAGAGAGAATCAGTGAATTGGCTAAGCTCACGTTTTTGTTGTTGAGTCCTTTCAGTCATGTCCAGCTCCTCCTGACCCCATCTGGGGTTTTCTTGGCAGAGACTGGAGCAGTTGGCCATTTCCTTCAGGTAATAATAATTATGATAATAGCTGATATTTACTTAGAAGTCTGTAAAGTACTTTACACACATTATCTCCTTTGCAGAACAGTAACTTGGAAATTTGCTGAGAGCATGCCTCAGGCAAATGTCGTGAAGTATTCCTTCGGTTAAAGGTCAAAGGGGCAGGGAGGAAGAACTCCCCCCAACTTGTCACTGAGTAGCCTCCAATTAGAATTCTTCTTGCTGCCCAGGGGCTCAGTTCTATGATTTCCAGCCACTGGGGGATTGATTGCAAGCTCCATGAGCATCCTTGAAATCTGGTGCCCGCTAAATGCAGGCATTGTCCAAATTGGACCTCCTGGGGAAAACTCCTGCTCACTCTGGCCTAGTTACAGGGCTCGTCATTCAAGCCCAGAGATGACTCTGGGAGTCATGTACTGAGCAGACAAGGGATTTGAACCCTGGTCCTCAGCACTCATCTCCACCACATTGTCCAGTATACCAGGCTCATTCCTTCAGTCTTCTCCTAGCCCCTCTCCTGATTCACAGGCCTTCTCTATCATATCCCAACAGCCTTAGCACCTTGGAAAATGCCTCCACCCCTGCCACTCATCCTTGGACTGGTGACTTTCTCCCCTGGAGCCCCTCTCCATTTGAAGAAGTGACCAGGCCAGTAGTGCTCATTCCTGTCCTCACTTTGTTTCTGCCTCCAGATTTCTCTTCCTCCCTTCCCACTTTTCAGCTCCCTCTTATTGGTTCCTCGAGGTCAATGACTGGCTTTCTTCTTTCTGGTTGTATCTGTGCTCCCCACACTTAGCACAGTGGCATAAATGCTTTGTTGTTCAGTTTTTCTTCATGACCACATTTGGGGTTTGCTTGGCAGAGATACTGGCCTCGTTTGCCATTTCCTTCTCCACCTCATTTTAAAGATGAGGAAACTAAGGCAAACAGGGTTCAGTGACTTGCTTAGGGTCACACAGCTAGGAAGTGTCCAAGGGCAGATTTGAACTCAGGAAGATGAGTCTTCCTGACTCCAGGCCCAGGGCTCTATCCCTGTGCCACCTAATTAGCTACCTTGTTAGCAGTACCTGCCTCACCAGAAGCAGTCAATGCAAGATTCCAAGGTACATCCCTCTCCAGTGAGAGTACTTTGCCCATTTATGGGAATCTGGCTTAAGAAACACAATTTGTTGAGGGCTTTATTTTAAAATAGCAAATGAAACATAGGGTTGTTGTCAAAAGCCAAGTTTGGTAAGCAACTTCAATTTGGCAAAATTCTCTGTTCCTCTGTAGCTATAGAAGCCTGGCCTTAAGGTAAGCCCTAAATCACTTCTTTATTTATGTAAAGGAACACGCCATCGTTCCAATGGAGAGAATGTCCCATTTTAGTGAAATGATACTCACTTTTTGGAGTTTTACTATCTACCCACCTGTATCTCCTCTTTTCCTACCTGTCTATTTTATTTCAAAAGGGAAGTATAGAGAATTACCCAAGGATACACAGCTAGAAAGTTGTAGAGATGGCACTTGAACCCAGATCCTTGGACCCCTAGTCCAGGCAGGGCTCTATCTGCCATGATTCATTTCAAAAGACATTTCAGTGTCACTGATCATTTCCTCCAATATTGCCAATCCATAGTCAGCATTTGTCCGTAGGCCTGGGTGGCATTAACATGCCCAGGTTTGAGCTGATGATTCTGATTCCTCTTGGAGCAGTTCATAACTTGTGAGGGTCCAAGAAACCAAGACTTACATTTCCATAGCATGTTTCCTGCCAAAGGTCCCCAGAGGCCCCTCCCCAGGTCCCTACTGCCCAGTGCCCCTCCAGAGAAACATTCCAGATGGGAATTCTGCCTCTTACTAAATACTCTAGGGACAATTTAGGGAAAGGAAAGGATCTCAGATAGCAAAAGACTCGAGGTTTGACAGAAGAGCACACCTCTTCTGTCCTAAGAAACTTGAAGCATGGGCACTCCCAGTGACCACGAGTGGTCGGCTGCCTAAGTTTCCCACATGTGCTCCTTATGATAGGAATGTGGGAAAGATTTCAATGTCATCATCAAATGCTACAATATGATTAAAGAAATGTCCATAGAAGTGACAGAGAACAGAAAACCTCAGGCTTTGTTCTATGAAGAAGATTCACGATCTGCCCCAATTGCTGTTCTCCAAGGTAAAGGTGTCATAGTAGATACTGGGCTGCCTTTGGAGTCAAAAAGGGTAGAGTTTGAGTACAGCCTCTGACATATATTGGCTGTATGACCTTGGGCACGTTAATGAACTTCTCTAAGTCAATGCTGATCTGCATTGGTGGAGGGAGACTCCACACCAGAAGTTTCCATACCAAAGAAAGGTCCCAAGGCCCCTTTCCCCTAAAAAGCATAAGGTAAAAAAGGGGGCCTCGGGCATTCAGGGGACACTTCTCAGTCTGGCGAGAAGCCAAGCTCTCCTATGGTCTCCATGCTGGGTTGTGTTTTCATCGATAACACAACAGCACCAAGTCCAAATTGTTCCATGGAAAAACAGACTTCCTCTTTCTCCCCATTTCTCAAATGACAAGCCTGGCCATCTGGAGGGGCCAGCCGTGGGTTTGGCTTGCTTCCTGGGGGTGGGGGAAGGGGTTAGGAATGGAAAGGGTCGGCCCTATTGGATTTCAGTGGCTGTGGCTCTGTGGATGTGCGCACACTGGCTCATGGCATGTGGGGTGTGGGAAGGGGGACCGCGATGCTAATAACAAGCACAGCCTCTCCCTGGAGAGACCAAGCAGGATATAGCAGTAACGGAGCAGACCAAGAGTGGTCTTGGAAGCTAGAGCCAAAGCCGCCTGCCAGGAACCCACCAGAGGCCCGCCACTGGGTCCCACTCACCTGTGAGCAGCCTGGAGCGCTGCAGACGAATGGCCTTTCCTGCTCCAAGTTCATCTTGGATTCCTCATAAATCTACAGGTTCAGGGGAAAGGACAGAGACAAAAAAAAGAAACACAAAAATTCATTACTATCCCTGGCTGCAGTCTCAGAAACATGCAAAACTCACCGCTCAGGGAGCCCTTTTCCCAATGGCTCTCAGGATATCAAATTCCCCAAACAGACAAGGACAAATGAACATGAATCCAAGGTTCTGACTGGCTCATATTCGTTAGGCTTCCCGCAGGCTCAGATCTTACTGATTTGTATTTACTTTGAAGGGGCGCAGTGTGGAGGAAAGCCACCAGGCCGCCCCAGCTGAAACCCGGCCTATGACTCCCTTTCATATTGTGGGGCTTATTCCTCCATCAGGCCAGGACCTCTTGGAAGCCTTCTGAAAAGGAGGCCACTTTCATGAGGACGGGAGATTCTTAGCGGGAGGGGGCCTTTCATGTGACCCATGAGAAAACTGAAGCCCTAGGGAATTATGACCAAGGTCACATGGATAGTTAGGGGCCAAGCCAGGCTTGAGACCAGGATCTTCTGAATCCTTTGATGTTACGGATGAAGAAACTGAGGCCCAGGGCACATTATAAACTTGTCCAAAGTCATGTGGTAGTAACTCAGCTCCTCCGACTTTAAAGAGGTCACGGTTTCATCTTATTCAAGTGAAGCCAAGGGAAGGCTAAGTACTTGTCCAGGGTCATGGAGACAGTAAGGGGCAGAGCCTGGGGTTTGAACCCAGGTTCTCTGATTCCAAATCCAAAGTTCTTTCTACTGAGCTACTCACTGCCTTCTTCAGTTTCTTCTAAAAACCCTAAATGGAAGCTGCCCCAGGATTTCAGGGCCACAGGCTGTGGCTGGGTGAGGATTAGTGTGACGTGTGTGGTGGTCCATCACCACAGCTAACAGGAAGAATGGACACAGACCCAGACAGCAGCAGGACCACTGACCACTGATCCTTACAGCAAAATCTATAGATAAGACACGCTGACACGCGGACGGACGGGCTTGAAAGGTTACCCACTGAACTGCATGCCACAGTGGAGACCAGACTTCTTAAGCTTTGTCCACTCACACCCCCTTTTCATGTTTTGGCAGTGTTTGTTGGCACTGTGTGGCGTGAGGGCGTGCGCAGCGCAACATGCGGTGTGTTCAGAAGCAGCGCTGCAGTGAAGTTGCCTGATGTAATGCGGGTGAGCACTGCTAGAAACGCCTCACATTCATCACACATTTGATTTTGAATTAATTTTTGGTCATTGTGCGTTCAGCAGCCTTTCACCGCTGCCAAATTTTTCACAGCTTCATATGGGATCATGACCCACAGTTTAGGAAGTGCTGGTCTAGACAATAAACACTCTTCATCCGCTTGGTTATTCCTGTGTGGATGGTTAAAGCTTCGAGTTTTGGAATATTGCTGCTCCCCAAAATTATAACTATAAATGTACAACTCAGAGAGTAGCAAAGACGTAAATGGTGGACAGGACCAAGCTGCACCACATTACAAATACAAAATTACAAAGGAAAACTGGAGAGAAAAAAATTTTCAGCAAGCTAATATCTAAATAAAAAGAAGATGAGTTGGTCATGTGGCGAGAATAAGAAATAACAAATGGAGAGCCTGTGTGCTCCACCAGAATCATAAGATCACAACATCATAGACTTTGAACTGTCAGGAACCTTACAGGCCATCTGGTTTGCCCTCTCCTCCTAATTTTACAGATGGGAAATTGAGGCTCCAAGAGTTTAAATGATTTGCCCAAGGTCACAAGAGCATCCGAGTAGAATCTGAATCCAGGTGATCTTAATCCCTAACTAAGGGTCTTTCCTCTCTTTACAGTGTCAGAAGGAGAAAGATGCACCCTCCCCCACCCTCCTGCCAAGTGCCCTCATGGTGAACTTATGAGAGGACATGAACAGGAGTCATATATGATAGGCTGACACAGATGAGCTGCAATCTGCATCACTGGAGGGAGTATTCACATTAGTGAGACCACAGACACATTGAAAAAGCCTTTAGAAAATGCTTTCTGATTATTGAGATAAGCCTTGGGAACACAACTCATCTGTAATGTTGGGACTCCTGATATTTCTTTCCTCTGACACTAGATAAAAAAGCCTTGGAATAATCAGAGGCAAATAAGAATCTTAGAACACAATCAAGAGCCCCACAGAAAGACGGACTATGCTTGATTTTATAGCCAACTGTGAATCAAGGTTAGAAAAAAGATTCAATACGTCTGGACAGATACATGGCTTAGATGGATGATTTGAAACAAGGTACCTTCCCTAGGAGAACTGAAAACACACACACACACACACACACACACACACACACATCTAACACTACATGTCATTTTTCAAATCCTAATTTAACTAATAGCACTCCTACATAGCCAGGCAACCACTGGGGGGTTGCAGCAATCAGCATCAGTGCATTGGGAAGGGGCTGCCGGTCTCTCTCTGTGAGTAGCCATGGCTCAGTTTAACAGAATTGTGTTACTTTTTAGGGAAACTGTAATGAATCAATGTGCCTACATGTACAAGCTTTTCCTGAAATGCTCCCAGGTTCTGTAAATGTGTGATGGAGAAGCACACTCTTGCCTTCAGTTTTTGGAGGCATAAATAAGCCAAGTGATTTGGACCTCTTAACGTAGACCTACCTCTCACTATTACTCAAATTTGACAGGGTTTCACACCAGACACTTTCAAGTCCAGACATATATGAAGTTGGGTTTTTCTATGTTCCCTTTGCTCCAAATATACCTCAGTACTTCTCCACAGATCAGAAATCTAGAGTTAGAAGAGCCCTTGGGGGTCTCTCCTTTCATTTTGCAGATGAAGAAACTGAAGTGACATAAATGATAAATGTCAGAGGTGGGTTTTGAACTCACATCATCTGATACTCTTCCCACTGTCCCATGCTATGTCCAATTCCTCCACAGAACGACACACAGTGTCCAAAAGATGAGATAGCAGAAATGCCCATTAGCCTACAGCTATCCGGGTGAGGGACCTAGTCAAAATGAGCCAGGCTGGACCAATGACAGGAGACATGCAGGCATGAAGGGCGCAGAGCTAAAGCCTTCTCAGAGTCAGTGCTTCACTGGCATTACTTGTGGATCCTCTATGACTCAGGAAGGCATCGGAAGGGGACTTGGGGGCCACTACTGTTAAAGGGGAAAATGAACAACATGATTTATGTTCTAAGGAGATTAAAAATAAACACCCTCACTTCGAAAGGCGGCATGATGTCATAGAGTGAGCACTTCACATGGAATGAGGAAATCCAGGGTTCAAATTCTGCCCCACTCACTCACCAACTATGCAATCTGGGGAGGACCACTTCACTGTATCCTGCCTTCAGTTTCCTCAATTGTAACATGTAGATAACACTTGTGCTCCCAACCTCCCAGTGGTGATTATGAGAAAAGTGCTCCCCACTCCTTCAAAGTGCTCTAGAAGATAACAGGATGACCAATTCAGAGATGGAAGAGACCTCAGAGGCCAAGAGTCCAACCCTGTCATATTACATTTAAGAAAACTGAGGCCCAGAGAGGTTAAGTGATTTGCCAAAAGTCATACAGGAATAGGCATCGAAAACAAGGTTTGAACCTGGGACCTCTGTCTCTACAGCCACCTCTCTTTTCACTATATAATATGCAATATGAATCTTTATCATTATTTTATAGTAGCAAACATTTGCCTGAAAATTGGGAGAAAGCGCAAATATTATATAAGTATGGGCTTCAAATATTCTGACTAAAGACAACCCTCCCTCATGTCGCAGTCACCCATTTGATGGAGTCTTTGCCAAACTCTTACCCTGCCATATTCCCTTCCTCCCCTCCCCCAGGTTTACCCATCCTCTCACTCTCCAGGAGCGGAGGAGGACACCATGGGCAAGAAAGTCAAGAAATACATGTTACTCAGATACACAAGGTGATGGGGAAGAGCGGTCTCTTCCAAGGGGGTGGCTGCCTCATGAGAGGAAGGCCTGCTTCGTGAATAGACTTCGAAAGAAGCATCGAGGGAGCCAAGCCCCATCACCAGCTCCTTGTGGGGCCTGCCAATCATCTCATTGCTCTTTGCCATCAGACTCCCACAATATCAAATAAGATCTAACTTTATTTTCTGTGTGTATGTACATACATACATATATATGTGTGTATACATACTTATATATACATAGAGACAGACAGAGACAGACAAGAGTTTTTCACATGTTATCTCCCCCATTAGAATGTAGGTGGGGGCAAGGGCTGTTTCTGTCTGTTTGCATCCTTGGACCTTAACACAGTGCCTGGTGCAGAGTAAGCACCTAAAAAAATGCTCGTTGACCTGACACATGCCTGAGTGAGTGTGAGTGTGTGTGTGTGTGTGTGTGTGTGTGTGTGTATTGCTGTAAGCATAAACTGGCACATCACTCTAACATTGGGTTCAACTAGACAAGTACAAGGTGGGAGACTTGGGGCTGGACAACTTAATCTGAGAAGAACTGGGGCTTGTAGTGAAACACAAGTAGAGCATGAGTCATCCGTGGCAACCAAAAAAGCCAGCGTGATGCTAGTGAACATTAAAGAGGCGACGTGTCCAAAGCAATGGAGAGATGGTCCCACTGTATCCTGACCAGGCCTGTCCATGAGACATCTAGGCTACTGTGTTCAACTGGAGCAGGGGCCATTTTAAAAGAGACGTCACACCGACAAGCTGAAAGCACCCAAAGGAGGTTGATCAGTATGCTGAGGGGACCAAAGACCATGTCATGACGGGATCAACTGAAGGACCTGCTCATGTTTAGTCTGAAAAGGAGGACACATAAGGACAACATGACAGGTGTCTTCACGGATTGGAGGCTTCATTGTGTGGAAAGGCTGCTCAACATAGGGAGCTTAACCCCAAAGCAGAACTGGGAGCGATGGGCAGGAGTTATAGAGGCATATTCAGGCTTACAATAAGGAAAACTTTCTTCATATCTAGAGCTATCCATGAATGGAGTGGACACCTCTAGATTGGGGTCCCCCCCACACTGGTGG